TTTTCATAGTTTACCATCATTACGTTAATCAATATACAGCTATGCATTAACATAGCGATTTTTAAAGAAGTAAATACCAGATCTTCCTTGGAAATCCATTCGTTTTTGCTTGATATTATTGTAAGGAAGCTTCCTTTTATACGTTTTATTTCTTTTTTCACTCAAAGTGAACATGTTCTTTACCCCCTCCAAAACCATCAAACTGTACATAGTGTTGTGGACATTTAGTTGTAATGTGTTTAACCAAACATGAAAAAAAAATTTGAAAGTCAATTTAAATAATATTTTTACGTCTTTTTTGGGGTCCTTTAATTGGAAAACATGCTAGAAAAGTAACTTACGTGCTGATTCCAGAAATACTGATCTTTAAGTATACAAAAGCGACGCAAGTTCTTAATGTAGCCTTTTTTCTTCTTCTTTTTTTGTGATATATTAATTTAATTAATACATATAGCGATAAATAACATCAAATACTAAGTCGCTTGTTTTGAACAAATACAACAACAATAGCTTTAAGGGACTTAAAAAAAATTAGCATATAGACCTCTCATTGTATATAAGTAAGATATTTATCTACAAAGACCTTGCACAGCATATACCACACCAACAACGACATACTTTAAAATTAAATTCGAGTTATCCTTAAGAATGCTCGAAATAGTAGAATGTTTAATTATCATAGTTTGGAACAGACTCTTTTATTTAAAGTCGGGTGTATACATACATGTATAACAATACAACATAAGCTCTATAAAGCTTTTGACCGACATACATGAGACAAACACAAGACATAAAACACATAAAACAGAAACATTGAGATAAGTTTTGGTAACAGTTGTCCCTGTAGTGTCAGAGAAAACATTTTTCTAAAGGTTTACGACGACGAACGGACAACACCAAGGGATGGCATAAAATCATCTTGCCTTTTAGAAATTATCGATCTAAGTGTACTCTCAGTTTAATATTGAAAGCTTTTAAAGCCCAATTTCAATTAATAAATAAACCATGTTTTCCCAGACTAAAATTCCAATCAGTACATCTCCAACGAATTTGCTGTAAAGACGTCATACGCATGCAGTCTGAAAAAGCACGACTTTGTGCAATGATAAAATATAAGTATCGACAGGTTGTAGGGCCACTTGTGTTAGTTTTTTGTCATTAAGGAATATGATTTTGATGGCTGATCCCGGATTGTCTTTATTCAACTTATTCATAACTTGTCTGGACTCTGACATACTCAGAACCTAGAATATGGTGTAGACACTATCCTATTGGTTGATTGATTGATTGGTGTTCGCTTTATGATGCATCAGCGCATAAAGGATAAATCGCGGCGAACCTCCTATTGTTTGATGAGTTTGAATTAAATGAGATGTGGGGTATATGTAATGACTTTCAAGAGGTGAAAATCTGAAAATTCAGCTTTTAATTATCTATTATATCTTCTTTTTTATATATCTGCTGCGAATTCTTGATTCAGTAGATACTTTCACTACATACATACCTACAGTCTGAACATTTTCCCCCATTGATTATTATAACCATGGCTATGAAGTAGCAGGAGGTATATAGATTTTTTACCCGTCCATCAGTAATTTATTTCCCGGATGCTTACTTCAATACTTACATCAGATTGCAATCATACTAGAATATAGGGTCATATGTAATGAGAGAAATTTGTGCAGAAAAGTGGTTTTCGGATGATATCCATAAATACTAGATATGGGATTGAAACACTATGTGGATATGATAGTTACATTTTATGAGAGGAAGATCCCTCTTGATTTTGAGGTCACTACACATAAGCTAAAGGTCATAGTTACTAAAAATAGACTGACATTTATGCAGAAATGAGGTTTCCAGATGCCAAGTGGAATACTATATATGGGATTGCAATAATAATTAGAAATTAGATATATGGTCACATATAGAAAGATTAAGATCCTTATTGATTTTGAGGTCTCTGTGATTAAGGTTAAGGTCACAGCTACTAAAAATTGCCTGAAATTTGTGCACAAATGTGGTTTCCGTATGTTAAATCAAATAGTACATATAAGATTGAAACATATTTAAATATGTAGTCAAATTTATTGAGTGGAAGATCCCTAGTGATTTTGAAGTCACTACGTTTAAATTAAAGGCCACTTTACTAAATAGAATATAATTTTTTTTCTGAAAAGTGGTTTCCGTATGATTAATCGTATACCATACTTAGATAATATATGGTCGCATACATAATATAATGAGAGGAAAATCCCTATCGATATTAAGGTCACAATGTCCAAAGTCAAGTTACTGGAAATAGTCTTGAAATTTATGCAGACAGGTGGTTTCGGATGCTTATTCGAATACTTTATATATGGGATCGCAACCTAATTTGAATGCATGTCAACAATTAATGAGATGAAAATACCTACTTTTGAGGTCATCACATCAAAGGTCAGGGTCACACTACTACAAATAGATTCTAATGTCAGCTGAAAACTGGTTACTGGATGCTCAATCAAATATGGGATTGCAAGCCAACCTTACCTGGATATATGGTCACATATGATAAGAGGAAAGTTTCGAAATTTTAAGGATTTTTTACTCAGGTATAGATTACCTTAGCTGTATTGTGCAAAACCTTCAATTTTGGGTCTTCAATGCTCTTCAACTTCGTACTTTTGGCCATTTTAACGTTTTGATTCGAGCGTCACTGATGAGTCTTTTTTAGTTAAATTCGCGTCTGGCGTACAAAATTTTAGTACTTGTATCTGTGGTTAGTTTATTTGATACTATATGGTAAGCTCAAGGTACTTAATAATCATTAAAAATAGATTTATGTAACACAATATTACTGTCTGAAATCATAACCAAAAAAAATCATAACTTAAAATAAACACACAGTTGTACGAAATTACTATGGTTTTTATTTTTACGATAGGAAATTTTTTTTAAAGATATTTCAGCCGACGTATATACATTGATTTGTATGTCTGGTTTTATCTTAAAGATCACATCAAGAAAGAATACTGACATTAAAGCCATAGAAATGACAAATGCCAATTCCAGGTTTCCAATTTCAGCTGTCTTTGTAGTCTTCTATGTGTTTTATAATTCTATTTTACAATAAGATTAAGTTTAAACCTGTGAAGTTACAGTTTAGAACAGATATCCAGATATTAGATAAATCCGAAATAAGTATCTGTTCTACATCTATAGAAAAACCTTCCTCGATTACTCTAATCAGAAAAAAAAAATAACAATAAATAAACGACCATCATTTCAAGTGAAGGATTAACTACTTAACTTTAATTGTTGTTCGGACTGTTATATAGTCTTCCCATAAACGAATGCATTGACCTCTAAAACAACATAAAAAAGTACATTCTTCTTGTATAAAATTTAACATATCTATAAAAAAAACCAATTAATACAATCTAGTGCCTTCCTCATTCTTGAAATGTAAGACTGTTAAAAGGGGAGATATACCAAGGGGACAATTCAATAAAAAAAAAAGTCATACGACGAAGAAAAACTGACAACTTCATAGGTAAAAAAAAATAGACAAAAAACAGTTCACAAAACACTACACGGAAAACTAAAGACCCCACTAAAAACCGGGGTTAAATCAGATGCTCTGGAAAAGTTTGCTGTTCTTGCTGCACGTCGTGATTCTCGTGTGAAATGTTTAGTACGTTCCAATAAAATAAACGAAAAAATGGCTTATATCAGTGTCATATATTTGTAATTATTACAGTAAAACCGGCTTTTTTTGGTTCATCAATTCCGTCTTACAGATATACCCTTTTGAAATTAAAATTGTGCATATATGGGCAAAGCACAATGAAATATACGAGACACTATTTCTCTAAATGGGACGATATATTACCATATTATCTCCTCTAACTGTTTAGCACTGTCAACATTATCCTTATATCACCATGTGATATATACGGATTTCAGTGCCCACCATACATATTTCTGGAAATATATTCATCAAGTACGCTCGATAACAAAAGCTTGGAAAGCAACATATCTGAAACTGTTAAAAGAAACAATAAAATCTTCCAATGTCAACTATGCCAAAAACAGTTGCAATCTCAGATCAGAACAATAACAAAAATAGTATACTTAAAGTTTACTATAGGATTAAAAACTTTGTTTTCTAGAGGTTATTGATGTGTAAACTGGGGCGATTAACTCACAAACTGAATAAAAGTTCGAAGACTTTTAATGTAAAGTTTGTGAGTCAGCGACCCAGTTTACACATCAATAACCTCTTATAATTCTTAACACAAACATTTGAAATTTTTTCATTAACAAATTTTGGAACATTGGCTACTGTTTACCATCAAATGCATAATTGACATTTCGTAACTAAGGAGTTAGCCGTCATCTTGTCTGTGTGAAATCCATTTATGTTCGATTAATTCAATAAAATATAAAATTAATTAACACCTACATCAAAAACTTCATTTCAATGAGATATTATCCAAATTTGAAGCGTGCAAGAAACTAACAGTTATGTATTTTTTTTTTTTTTCAATCTCAATTTGCTTAAACCCTTTAATCCCTTACATCTGTATCGCACATGCATAGATCACAGCGAAGGTTACGAAAATAGTTTCGGCAACATGGTCTATCGAAGTGTAAACCAAGGAGGAAAATGCTAACGAACCAATCAAATTCAAGTAGATATGCAAATCATATAAGAATTATAGTAAAATATATCTTTTAAATCAAGCAAGTCCCGACTTTTATATATGCTTATTCATGAGTGTTTTCTCCTTAAATATACATTATTGTGTTTTATGTTTTATCGAAAAAATTTAATATATAATGTATAATTCGAATTTACATCACTTGCTTGGATGTTGACTTAAATCATTGTGTTTGGCGACGTGTACTTGTATCTTTTGTATGATTGTTACGTCACGTGTTATAACAATAGTTTTTGAACAAGGCAAAATGGCCTTTGGTGATGATGCTTTGTCTTTTGAAAAAAACAAAGGTAATTGATTTTTCTGTTTTTATTTCAGAACAAACTGCACCTTTTAGAGGTAAACATCTGTTTGCATTGTCAACATTTTCTTCAGTAACTTAGTTAAACGTTTTGTTATGAATTGCCAACACTTCCCACATTTTGTGTTTTGGTAACACAATATAGTATCTTGCTGAATTTTACTAAAGGCTGCACAGTTTTATTGGTTATATGCTGATACAATTGTAGATTAAACGCACTCTTCATTATTTGTGTCTTTAAACTTCAGTAGAAAGTTCCTTTTACTTTTTGCACTCCGATTTTTCAAATTTTCGATTATTGTTTGGAGCTATTGTCCTACGATTTTATGTGATAAGGCGGTAATATGAGCAAGGAAGATTTGAAACTTACAATATAATGTAATAGATAAAGAAAAGTAGATAAAATGTCACTTTTTTGGTAGTAAATCAAATGTTAGATTGTTTTGGGGTGATATAAAATTTTGTTAAAATCTAAAAGAAACATTATTGCTATGTAAGACAACAATTGTTAGATATATATCAGTGTCGAATCAAGAGACTAAAAAGTGTCCTTGATAGTGCAGAGGTGAACGAAATTTTACTGTTAATGTTCAAGTGAGGTTTCTAATGACAACACAATTACACTTCGGACATTTGACTTGTGACCTAAGAAACCATTTCATAATGCAAGTTTCATGGAAAATATGGTTGCAAGGTGTTAATTTTGCTGAATCCATATTCTGAAAGCATATTGAACATACGTCATTGTTCAGTTCAATTTGATTCTCGGAAGCATTTTCCAACCGTGCAGTAAACTGAAATATCTGCTTTCTTTGAATATAAACTCTCCATATGGCCATTATAGCATGATAAATACCAAGGGATGCTATTCCAATTAATTTTAATACATCCAACTTTGTGAAAACACCTATATCAAGGTGTGTGCAAACACTACGGAATAGTGTCACGATGCCAAAACATACTGTTAAAATGTTTAGCAATATTATTGCTGCAAAACCTACGAGTCGAGTTCTAAATACAATATCATCAAAATTTTCCCAGAACTCCTGGCGTATGAACTCGTATTTATTTAGGATAAATATAAACAATGCTGTAACGGCTCGCACTCCTATAGATACATAGAATGAGGTTGTCAGAAAAATGGCCAAATTCGTCATAGAGTAAGTTCTTGTAAACTCAAATGCAATGTAGAGAGGAAGAACGATTAATAATGATTCAATGAAAACCACCCTCACTGCTTGAAGAAGGGTTCCCTGTATTGTCTCTGGTTCTGCTGATATTTGGTCCACTTTTATTAAACAAGCCTCTATCAGAAATACAGTCAATATCCAGACACGATTTATTATAAATTCGCCTCGTGTTACTGGCTCTAGATAAAAAAAGCACATATCATAAGTCACCAAAAGTACTTCAGTTTTATATCTTGAATCAATAATTTGTTCTTCTTCGAAAGCACTGAGTCCTTTGACAAACGAAGAGCACATTTTAGCCATATATTTTGAAATAAGGAAGAATGAATCGTTGAATGATTTCAAAGAAACGAGCGTGCAAACGCATGAGCCGATTGTGGATTGTATGATCCATTTGGTATTGTAACTTTCCTCATCTGCATTCAACCAATAATAACTAAAGGTTACAGTTATAAGTAAAGCAAAATAGATCTCATATACATTCTGTGTTCCCCTAACAAGTGCCAATATAAGAAGTCTATAGTGTTCAACTTCGTTGGCAATCCCCAGATCATAAAATATGTTATTTATTTCGTTTTCCGAGATGGGTATACCATTGTCTAAAACGTGTAAAAAGCCCATGACAAGAAGAAATAATGTCACAATGGAAATAATATTGACGGTCCAGGGAGGTGTAACTCTCAGTATGGTTCCTCCAAGTATAAACAGAGAAAAAAACAAGGCAAACCGAATTGCTGAGTTCACGGTCATCACATAGCATATAAGAAGAATGCCGATACAAAACTGGATGTGTGCATGAATGAAAAAGACGGTTAAAGGAAAATTTTCCTGATCATCATCAATTCTTTTAAACTCAGAACAAAATACCACGCAAGTCCTATGAGACCGATTCCACAAACAAACCGTGTTGCAGCCTTGAACTGATAACCTGTCAGAAATGGAATGCAATTGGTAAATACCACAGCTACAAGAAAATAAAAGAATACAAGCATGATAAATATTTGCATAAATGCTCTTCTGTATTTTTAAAGTTATGGTGTTTTTTATTCTTGAAATAACTTTCTCTTATGTGTGCCACATCAATTTAGGCCAGTTTGTGTACTAAATTTTTAATAAGACGCCCACCACCTATTCTTGGTCCTCATTTTTATCCACGTAAAAATTTTCACTTCCAAAAATTTTATGGGGGCAGGATAATGTACTCTTATTTATACATCAGACCGTATTGGTTACCGGAACTTTGCATACACCAAACCAGGTTCTTCATATCCGAGAAACAGGCAAATATATGTCCCCAATTTTAGAATTCATTCATACATTTTTGTGTCATTCAACATTATCAATATGTGTTCTACAAGGATCACCAGTCCTTCACCTTTCATTTGATACCTTAATTAATTAAATATATTCTACATAGTTTGATATTTACACCTATGCGTAGGTACTATTTTGTTTTAAATATGTACTACTTTCCGGTATGTTCTTTTTTGACCGGGCCCGATTTGGTGGTGTTGCATCTTACAAAGTCTATTCTTATTATTTTTGCAAAGAATTCCGCTCAAGCCGGTGCTAGGGGCCATCTTTAACTTGAAGTGAGATGAGAGGTTTTTTTTTGCTCTGTGTTGAAGGCCTCACTGTGACTTTGGGATGAACAGCAATAAAAGCGATGTTCTTTTGCTTTTTGTGTGTTTTTTTGCTGTGCATGTACTGATTTAGTGTCATGGATGGATACCCCATATCCTTTGTTTGTCTATTGTACATTTTTGTACCTCTTACTTGAGTTATAATTTGTAGTGGTCTTTTCGTCACGGGATGTATAAGTTTTTTAATAGGAAATTTGCGTTTTTCAATGGATCTTTTCCATTCCAAAATGTTTTTATTTTTTTAAATTACTTTTTATGTTCAGCATGAAGGTGTATAATGAACATGAAACGATATGTCGCATATCATCTGACCTTCATGGGATCTTTTTTACTTTAAGGTAACAATAATTGATTTCATTAACATTTTAATGTCCAGAACATACCTATTATATCCTTTGACATAGGTTGTTGATATCTGACACATGGGTGCAGCACCCTAAGAGGGTGTGTCATCTACCATGGAGAATTTGACATATGACGACGGATATGTTCAAATTGTTTAACCACAATACTGTCTTCTTGTCCTCGAATGTACTTATATGAGCCACGCGACGGGTACCACATGTAGAGCAGGATCTGCCTCCCTGCCGGAGCACCTGAGATTACCTCTGGTTTTTGGTAGGGTTCGTGTTGCTCAGTCTTTAGTTTTCTTTGTTGTGTTTTGTGAACCGGTTTTTTGTTTTTGTGGTCGTTTTTCGTTTTTTCTTTGCCATTGCATTGTCAGCTTGTTTTTAGACTAATGAGTTTGAATATTCCTTTGATATCTATCGCCTCTTATCAAATGCTATATAGTCTTAATTGCCTTGATAAGACCTTTCTAATTCACCATAGGATTGGTCAATTTGGAACAAACTCCGCCCCCTGAATGTTGTCAATTGTTAAATATCTTGGAGGTATATTGTGATCGGGTTGTCCATCCGTTCGTTTGCGACTTCTGTTCCTTAACCGCATATTGTTTATCTTTTTATTTGCTTGTTTTTCATTGAAGGAAGAAATCACTGAAATTTTATGGTGGATGCGTTATACTGATTCAGGAAACACACAGCACTCTTCTCCTTGAGAATTCATAATCTAATATTAACATTTCAAACAAATTTACAAAAAACCTTTGAATACAAATTACCTTTCACAAAAAAGCATTACGTATCCCGCTACCCGGGAAATACGGCGACCACCAGTTGATTTGACTTTGTCTTAGTCAATCAAGTTTTAGATTTTAGAGTAGTAACCTCTTATACCATATTTATTTTATAGACTCCGAAGAATTCAAGCAGATTTTATCCATAGAACTTGACGTCCTGCACTTGCTATAATTTTATTTGCCTGCATATCCCATTTCATTAGTAGAACTTGGGTCGTCACATTCTTCTAAACAATATTGTGAGCCTTGTCTATCTTACCTTCTAGAACCAAAGTTGATATCATTTTATTATAACCGCCGTGTTTTATAATAATTTTGCGAGGCCCGACAGCGCCCAGGAGACGATCGTTTTTATATATTTTTTATTTCAACAAGAAATTGAGTTTTAAAAATAACTGTCGTGGTCATACATCGGCTGGAAATACTGAACAGTAAGTAACTTTACACTATTGGCTCAGGTCGATTGTGGGACTAACCACAACGTACCCTGACCTACTGGTTCCAACTTTCAACATATTGATGTCCTTCAGTTAATCTTCTTCACTTATATCTCTCCGTACAGTGAAGTCTCTCATATCCGAGAATAAATCAATTTTAGAGGAAGGAATTTAAGGCTCCATCAGACACAAAACATCACACACCAGTAGTATTCTCTGATAGTAAAAGATTTTCCCTAGAGAAACAAGCGTCTCATGCAGTGGCATAAAGTATAAAATTTTGGTGTAAATCTGGTCGAAACTCCACACAAGGGTTGGAGTGGTTACGAGAAAATCCTGAGTCTCAAATTGGTCATTTGGACAATATCTCACTGTTATGTTTGGCCTGGTACATGTGACCTGACCTCGTATAACAAAACATTCATAGCTCTCGGGTCAGAAAGAACAATAAAGTAGAGCGAATAGTTTCAAATTTTGAAGAAATCTGTTCTTAATTCACTGAATATCCTGGATGTAACTAACATTTTTGGAAACTCCGGTGTATTCCATTTATGAATGGAATAAACAAGCTGGTCACAAAAACCCTAAAGAATTTCTAAATAAAGACGACCAACTTATCGAACAGGTACATATACTAAATGAACACATACGTACTATCAATACTTCTTTAGGAACAAGGGCACCAAACTTCAATTAGTATTCAAGTCACTAAAAATGGAAATCTTCAGCAAAACAATGTATCACCCTGGTGATAAATATAATATAATTTCACCTTATACAGAGACGGAGTACATCCCAACCGAAATCTAGCTAGTGTTTGGTTACGTAAATTTGCAATTAAAATAAAAAATGAATATTGGTCTAAATACTTTCTTGATTTGATATAATATATGAATGTACATACTTTTGTGAGTGACTTTTATAAATTATACAACTGATCGACAGTGGGACTTACCACAACGTATCGTTGTATCAATCCCTGTATCTTATACTAGTCGGCGTATCATTGGAATATCAATGTTATATCATTTTATACAAAGACTGAGTACTTCCAAACTGAAATCTATATATCGTTATATATACATATCTGTGTGGTTGACAAGTATAATTGATACAACTGATCGACAGCGGGACTTACCACAACATATCGTTGTATCAATCACTGTATCTTATACCGCTCGCCTTATCACAGGAATACTTCCTGGTAACTAACGCATCATAGAGTATAATCATTCAACAAAATGGATAATGATCTTATGATGTCTACATGTCCTACCACTCAATGCTCTAGAGATGAGCCTAAAACTATACCTAGTGCTCGTCACAAAAACTTTGAATTTAAACTCAACAAAGCAATTGTAAAAAAGCTTAAAGCTACTAAGCGCCTAGTCAAGATCTCATATAAACTTATAGGAGGGGGACTTACTGCAAAAGCTGACACTGTATCATTTGAACTGATGAAAAATGCCATAAAACATTATTATGAACAACAAGATGTCAACAACACACATTTGAACATCAGGGTTGATAGAGATCTAGAAAAGAAAGGCTTTATCGTTGGCTTCGTTAACAGAGTTACAGCTAATGATATTCCGAGCTACACATTGTCCGTATACTATACATCATGCTCACTGCTCGTGAATGGGAGGGACACAATGAGATTTTTTAACATTGATCTACCCGAAATACAAAGGACAATTAACCAGGTGATCTTAAATGGCACCAAAGTTGACTCCAATCTCTTAATAAACATTTAGAAGAACAACTACAAAACAAATGCTCGAGGAAAGACAAAAATCCGTATCAGAACATTCTAACTCTTGTTAAATAGACCAACAAATTTCTAAAATAGGTCTAGCTAAATGTATAAAACGTAGACGTAATGTCCAAACGAAAGGTGTGTACTGCTCAGCTGGTGAGCACTGGATTCACTTCAGATGCGCTGGATTAAAAAAATGCTGATATTATTGAACTAGAAGATAATAGCACTAATGGTTATAGATGTAACATTTGTGCAGAATCAAATTCAGACCGACACAATCAGTTATCAAAGAGCAAAAGTGTTGAACAGGTAATCGCTAATCAAAAACAATGCTTACACTCCGCCAGCGATATCCTGTTAGAAGAGATTCAAATATTGTGTGATGTATGCGATATTAGAATAATTGACAACTCTGCGAATTGTGAAATGTGTTCACAAACCTGTCATATGACCTGTTTTTGCCACTAACCGTTTATCAGGTAAGGATGAAAATAACACTTCTGATGACACACACATCTGTTTGAATTGTACCAACGTCATTGATCAACAACTTCAATCTGGCATATCCGATACCCAAAACTCGAGTCATATACAATCTGATTATGAATCCAGACCAGACATAGCAACAAATGAACATGATATAGTACCAATCTTCATAGATATGAATGATGATATCAAACATGATGTGATACAAATAATGAACCTTCAATCTTGCAGGCAACAAAGACTGTACTCAAGTCCCAAACGAGAATCAAAATGCGTATTCCACAACAACTACCACCACAATTTGACTTAAATCGTCCAAATTCGACCATACATCCAACAAGTACTCCACTGAACCACCCGAATATTATGAACAGCTATAAAGACAATAAAAGAAATGTAACTATCGATGGTGGCATCAATATAACTTTTACTGGACAAACTATCTATTATTCACCGCCATCACATATGACACAAGTAAAATACCAAGCCAATATCTCCCCTGGTACTCGGGCAGCTCCAACAACTAATCAGAAGAAAGCACATACGCACCCACGGTACAATGGTACATCATCGTCTACCTTACATACCAAGATGTACTCAGAACCTCGCCCCATGAAGGATCATGGCCAACATGCTCGGCAGGGCATACAAAAAAAAAAAAAAAAAAAAAAAACAGCAACCAACCTCATAACCCGAGAATTGGCCATTTTATAGGACTCAACCAACCTCAATACAAACTGACGTAGCTTTATCAGGCGGTGATCAGAATTCTTACGAAGAACAAGTTTCAAGCAAGAAATTGAAAATTTTATCTTTTAACTGTAAGAATTTAAAAACAGACTGTAACTTTATAAGAGACATGAAACAGAAAATAGATGTATTTTTGAAACAAGAACACTGGTTGTTTCTTTGTGAATTAAATATGTTATCAGAAATTCATACTGAAATTGCGGGTAGTGGTAAATCAGTAGACTCAGATGACCCAATATCAGCCTCGTATATGCTACGCGAATACGGTGTGGTGGCAATACTGTGGAATAAATCTATTGATAAATACATCAAGCCAATTTCGGATGGTTCAAATCGTATACATTGTGTTATTAATTAACAAGCCAAGTTATTGTAATGTCGGTATACTTACCAACTAAATCAACAACAGACAGCAAAAATATCTTTGATGACTGTATTGACCAGCTATATGAGATAGTGCAAAAGTACAAGGACGCATAAAGTAGTGATCGGTGGAGATTTAAACGAAGACATTGTCAAACATATAAATATTTTCAAACGCAAAAATGTACTTCTTAAATTTATGAAAGAATGTAAGTTGACAACTAACCACAAAGAAATAACTTTTATTAACACATCTTGTGCGGATATATCCAAAAATCGACTGTTTTTTACATAGCAACATAGACCTACAACCATCCAGGAGACTAATAGATCATCCAATCAATGTATCTGACCATCACCCGATACTATTTTCAAATAGAAAGCTGCTTGATTCAAAATACTCAACAAATTTCCAACAATCAGAAACCCAAAATTAAATGGGATAAGGTAAATAAAAAGAGTTACACTGACATGATAACAAGAAGATCATAAGATATTCGCATATGCTAGAGGACGACAATGTGAACATAGTCCAGATACTTAGAGAAACGACAAATTTATTGTGTGAAACTGCTAAGAAAGTTAGTAGACAGAAGACCTATGGCAAAACGAAAATTGAACATCTGGAACAAAGAAATCGCAGACGCATTAAAAGCAAACAAGCTAGCATATAAGACATGGAAGATCAATGAATAACGACCATCCATTAATTATAGAAAAGAAACTTACAAGGAAAATATTCAGAACAGAAATCAGGTAAGAACTAAGAAAAAAAAACATAACGAGAGGAACACCTTAATACACTTAATATAATAGTGGCGACAAAAATCAATCTTACAAATTAGTACGTAAGTAAAGACAAAATGACAATACCTTTATAAATGACTAAAATGTTGATGGAGAGACTTTTGAAAGAGATAATATCTTGTCTGAATAGCATACTCATTTTAGCAAACTAGCAGTACCGACTGAACATCCAACATTTAACTACAAGCATTTACAACTATGTGAATTGAACTATAATACAATCTTAGAAATAAGCCACCAATATACATCGATAGAAGTAAGTCTTAACATTAACTGAGAGGCAGTAACGTCCATTAAAAAGGGGAAAGCAGAAGAGTATATGGCATTTCCATAGAAAATTATATATATATGCGGGTGATTATTTTTTTAAATTTCTGCATAAACTGATCAATACAATGTTCCAGAAAAAGCTGATTCCTGATTTAATAAAGATGGGTCTATTGTCACCAGTTTACAAAAACAAGGAAGATAAATCATACTCCAAGAACTACCGAGGTATAGTCGTTCTACCAATACTGATGAAAATAATCGAATACATATTGCGTGTTGATCTGAGACAGTATACTCTAGATTTACAGTCGTCATTACAGAGAGGCTACACTGCGAATGCTTCACCGTTGAATGGAGCGATTATAGTAAAAGATGTTTATAGAGAATACATGGACAAAAATTCACCATTTATGATGCCATTATCAGATGCGAAATCCGCCTTTGAACTTGTAGTGCTAGAATTTGCTACTACGGAAAGTACACTTCTCCAATGTTAACCCAGCAACTTGGCTATTAATTCATGGAATCCCTAAAAACACAGAAGCATGCGTAAGTGGACAAATGATACATCAGGAAAATTTCCATTCCAACAGGTGGTCTCCTAAGTGCTGATTTATATAAATATAAAAATAAGAAGATGCGGTATGATTGCCAATTAGACAACTCTCCACAAGAGACCAAATGACACAGAAATTAACAACTATAGGTCAAGTACGGCCTTCAACAATGAACAAAGCCCATACCGCATTGTCAGCTATAAAAGGCCCTGAAATGAGAAATGTGAAATAATTTAAACGAGAAAACTAACAGCCATCTATTGGATATAAATATTACAAAATTTATATTGAAGACCTGTCTCATAACTTTGAACATGTAGCGAAAGGATGTACAATTAGGGAACCCTCTGTGAGTGCAATAGCTTGTGCAGATGATGCTGTGTTAATGAGCGAGAATCCAGCAGAACTACAATTTCTTATAAATATAGCCACTAGATATAGCCAAAATCTATTGCAACCACAGAAAAGCGTGATAATACTTATAGAACCAAACAACCGTAAGAAACAACCCAAAACAGTAAATTTAACTTTGAATGAGAATCCGATGCCAGTTGTTGATAAATCTCCTCATCTTGGAATTCTGAGATCAGCATCTTCCAAAAACTGTCAAAATGAAACAACTGAATAAAACATTACAGAATCTAGGAGGACTCCCTAAAGTCTAATGTCAGCCGGAGTACATGGTGAGAATGGGCTCGATCCGATCACATCGTTACATCTGATTAAAACATTTATACAACCAATTCTAACGTACGGTTTAGAAGTTATCTTACCTACTTCAGCAAATTTTCTCAAATCAGAGAAGTTTCAAAAACAACTACTGAAAAGAATACTATCCTTACCGATATGAACACCAGATCCAAGTATTTATATCTTAATTGGGTGTTTTAACCTACAGAAGCACAAGTAGATCAGAAAGCAGTGATATTATTTAATAATATATGTAGGCAAGATGAATCAAATTTAGAAAAGCGAGTGGCTATTAGACAATTATCTATGAAAGATCAATCTAGTAACAATTGGTTACTTGCAATTAAGAAAATGATATTTGAATACGGACTGCCGTCTCTCCGCTACAACTACTTAGCTGTGCACCCAAAAAATTATAATGGAAAAGAACTGTTCAAACTGCTATAAATACTTACTGGAAAGAAGTAAAAGTTACATCCCTGCGCCATCTCAATATAAAATCATAGAATCCTGGAAAATACCACCTGGCACCATCTATTGGATATACATATCAAAAATGATCCTACGAGGGAAACGACGAGACTAGCAATTAAATTGAAATTAGTAACCGGTACCTAAATATTAGAAAATAAGAGGATTAATTAAACACAAAATGAAACACCAACTTGGGGACTATGCGATCATAGACTCTTTGACACTTCCTGTTGGACTGTCAGATTGTAGAACCTATCAGACGATTATTTCACCAGATTAATGAAATTGTTCACTCAAAATCAGAACAAAACTTTACATCATTATCCTGTCATGATGAAATCCAAGCAATTCTTGACTGCTCGGTACTTTATCCTAGATTAAAAAATAATTGTGATAATACCCTTAAATTAGATGCAATGTGCAGGAAATGTCATATGCGTTACATATGGCAAGATACCTTTCCTTGGACATTAAAAGGAAATGAGGTTAATTTCGTGATATGTGATAGGTTGATATATGGACCATTGATATTCCGGTGATTTGCCAAGAATATACCTATAATAAAATGAAGTAAACAAGTCAAAATTGAAAACAACGTTCAAACCTATGATTGCGTTGGATAAAAACCGCAATTTTTATACGTGTGCATGCAAAACAAATTTCTTGGTAGAGGGGTCTAAATACAGCACAAACAACATTTTCCAAAAAAAACAAAAAAGTGAAAAAGTATATTTTACCAAAACGCATTTGACTATAATATAATATAATGTATATAGCAATTGTTTATTTACATTTTCACCATTTACATGTGATCATCTTATAGACACTTTTTGATTGGATGCTGCCAGTTACAACTATGACCAATGGTAATCATTCCCTCGTGGATCCGCCAAGGGAGGAGAAGAGGGGACTGGATCGTAGAGCTTGGCTAGCGAAGATGGGTGTGTCCTTAGTGTGTCACACTTCGAATGTAATAACAAGTGCATGATATGGATGTAGTATCATCCGATTGTTTTCTTCTCCTTGGTCTGGTTGTTGTCTCTTTGACACATTCCCCATTTCCATTCTCAATTTTATGAATATTCAACCGTCCTTATTCACTTTCATTGTAGCTCGTTTGTTTGTACTTGAAATGAGAAACATACAGTTAAGTCGGTAGTATCATCAACTTTGCAGTTAAGGATACAGGTAATGCTTTGACAAAACGCTCTCCTTCAGCTGTTGACATTATTGATTCCTAGGTGTAGGGAAAACTTTTTTCTAACCATATACATAATCCCTATAAGGTTTTATGTTTTTCCTATGAGCTGAGGTATCGGTAGTGGAAGTTGATTTCTTGTATATTAGTTCACATGGCGTACAATATATTTGGTTAAAAAAGTTTCGGTATTTTGTAAATCAATTTTGCGAAATATACAAAAGTTATTTCTCAATTAAATATAATTCATTTTTTTTAAAGGTAACTGATCAATTAAAAGATAGACGTACCTATAAAACGAACAAGGTATGAGAACCATCCAAGGTAATAATAGCTGTATCTACATACTATATCTGTGAAAGCAAGACACAGTACGAAGGAACTTATTTTGAACATATTTTTGGTCTGAACGGATTGATATACGATCTCAAACAACGATTTTATTTTCTGAAAAAAAAAAATGAAAATTTATCAAAAAAAAAAAAAAAAATCAAATCCATCAATACTATTTAATAACGAAAAGTTACAAAGATACAAGTCACAACGGACGATTCTTAGGCTTGAAATTTAAAATTATTAGAAACATTTATGATTTTCTAATTTAATGCATAGATGAATCTAGCAATATTTGGCCTGGTAAATTTGTAGAGTGTTTTGTTTTCAATGCTCGCAATTAATATAAAAATAAGGTGATGAGATATAATTCCCAATGGCTAAGAAATGTAAGCAACTATATAGGTCAGCGTACGATTTTCAACAATTAGAAAAGCGCATATCGTAGTCAGCTATAAAAGGCCAAGACATGACAACATGTGAAACAATTCAAATGATACACTAACCGCCTGAGCTATGACATAAAATTAACGAAAATAAAATGCTCCACTGGGGTGCAGCTTGATACGACAACAGATGTCGAATCCTCAATAGTTGGGGCAAGTATGAACACTGAATTGGAATATTTGGCACAGCATAGGTTTCTAACACAGAATGAATATCGTAAAAAAGCTGAAAAAATTGAAATTGGACTTTAACCTATAATTGTCCAGTATCCAAAATCTAAATACACGGTTAGATTCAGCATTTCCAAGTACACCAAGAATTTAATTAATTTATTCACGAATGGACAATATTAGCTAAAGTTTTTTTTTTCAAAGGGGTTACCTAAGCAGCAATATACCAACTTCACCTACATATAGGATATACATTTCCCAACTCATCCGGTATTCAAGAGCTTGCAGCTGCTACTCAGACTATAAAACGTCACCAGTGTCTGAGCAGAAAGTTGATGAGCCAAGGTTATGTCAAAGAACGTCTAGTCCTTTTTCTTAAAAAGTTCATTGGAAGATACCAAGACCTTGTTGTTAAATATTCCGTATCAACTTCACAAATAATACATGATGGTCTTGAAATATAGATTCTAGGTACGTACTGACATTGTTTATCATCTAAATTACGTGTTAAAGTTTCCCCTTTTTTGTCCTTGTATATTTTTAACCTTTACTATTTAGTCCATTTTTAATTATATACCTATGACGTGGCTCGGTTCTTATACATCCCGCTATTGTGTTATTGTGCTATGATAAATTTTGTGAATTCTTGTTTTTCATTTTTGCTTATGTACTTTGTCTCTATGCCATTTTGTGTTTCTTTATTGAAATAGTTATTTGTTTTCATAGTGCTTAAGATTATATTACAATGTTGACTGCTGGTATTCAGTACGTGGGAAAAACAATGGACAAATTTAATATTCGGCTAAATAACCATCGATCATGGTACAAAAACAACAAAAACTGTCCCCTCACAAGACATATTCACTCAAAGAAACATCCTTTTGGTAATGTTACTTTGCAAATCATATAAGTAAACACTGAGTGGGGCACCACGGCGAGAAGGAGAGGAGAAAACTTTTGGATCCAACAGCTCCATACTTTAAAACCTAATGGGCGTAATGAAAAAGACGAGAAAAGATACTGGAAAGATAAAGAATAATTAATTAAACAGCATCGGCCTTTTTTGCAAACTTTAACCATAAATTTCGTAATTAAATAAATAATTTTTAACTTCATCGAAACTTTGAATTATTTACAAGGCAGCAAAATTCATGTACAATGAGCTACAAAAGTTTCTTATCTGCATCCGATTTCACCTGGACAGATGCACGCTCATTCAGGCTAGTTCTTTTGCGGTCGTATAACAAAAATTACAGACAGCAACTAAAGACCAATACTGAATTACAGGCTCCTAAATTGGGTAAGACACATACTGAATTAGACGGCGGAAAACCTGTTTGTGAGCGCTCAACCGTCCTCTAACATTAGACAGTGGTACATGTTACAGCAAAACATAAGAACAAACAACGGCAATGAACGGTATTGTATGAGTTGTGACGAACGGATTACCACAGGTTAGTTCCTTTTTGGGAAGTAGAACTGCGCGGTTGAGTCAGCGCTTTTAAATCCCGGTAATATTCGGTTCATAAAAAATATGATAATTATAAATGGTCTTTTGCCTTTCAACATTCTTGTAATTGAAAAGTTAATTCGATTATAAAACTGGATTGTTTGTTAATTAAAGAAACACATGTTTTTTTCTATTTCTTCTTACCGTTGCTCTCCACTGCTGCGAACTACTAAATACCAGTATATTTCCCAACAAAAAAATTCGTATTCTAATGTAATTTTAAATCAGATTTTGGCTTTCGGAAGTGAGTTTCAAGATTATCTCATAAAAGTCTCCTTTAATTACATAATTCAAAATTTGAAGTGACACAATAGAAGTTAAAAATATTTGAGAAAATGTATGTTATTTATTAGAATATTGAACGATACTTTATTTATTTGTTTATTATCTCCATAGCTATTGCTTTGGAATTTTGTAATTAAAAATAGGTTTTATCGGTTTATAGAATCAACTGTTTGTAGAAGTTTTACTAAAATTGACAAGATGGTTATTTTCAAAAATTATTGTCAATAGGAACTATCACAATCATTCTTTGGGTAACATTTTCCAATGTTATTTTCCTTTTACTGACTAACAAATTATTTCGGCTGGCTGTTACAATAAATATGTCATATAGGGAAAATTAACATACACACAAAATTGATAGAACTTTGAAAAATCATGATCATTTTGTGTACATGTTTCTTTTTTTTTTGTGTACATGTTTCTAGTTTAGTAGATGATAATATACATTGTAAATCATTATGGCATTCAGTACATAGTTAGTATATAGTTATGGCATAAGAAGTGTAATAGATTGAGTATTACATCCGGCTGATGGTGTTCCGAATAGAATGAAAAAAATGCGTATGATTGCACTGTTAGAGATTTTGTGTTGACATCATCGTGTGTTTCTGTATTGTGAACATATTATTTAATTCATGGATAAAACAATGCTTAAAGTACTCGAAAAGGAATTTGTTTTTGTCCCAGCTGATATCATTATTGTCCGACGCAAATTTTATATTTATGTTCTACAAAAGGAAATTACAAAATTCACCAACATTCTAACTGACTCAATTTTCGGAAAATGACATCGTTAACAAACAGAACTTTTTTTTCAAACAAAACCGATTAACATACTGGCCTCCGAATGGTGTATATATATCTCAACTTGATCGATTCGCTCTGGTAACAACGTATTTGATTTCAACGAAAGCAATCTCTGTAAAACTAAAAAAAATATTACATTAGGGTTTTCAATATTACAAACTCTAAAATTTATCATCGCTACAAGGACCATTCGTAAATATAAATCAACGTGCAGACATCGTTTACGTTCAGGTATTGCACATCCCATTATTTATGGTAATATTCTATACAAGACAAAAATGTCTCACCTCAAGAGCTAACCAAACCTTCAAACAGACTTATTCACAAGGGATATAGTAACTATGCCTGATACTGTTAATTCATTAATGATGGAATTTTGGGGAATTAATATTGATTCACTCATTGGGTCTTTGCATCAGAATTAAACTTTTTTTATTCTAAAACCCAGTTGTCGGAATGATGTTTTTCTCGTATAATTAACGATGACATGATACTGAACCCATGACATGATACTGAACCCCTAACGGGAGGAATTGTGGTGAATTTTCATATAATGAAAACATAAGAAAGGCGAAAGATACCAAAGGGACATTCAAACTCATAAGTCGAAAATAAACTGACATTGCCATGGCTATATATGAAAAAGACCAAACGATAAACATTAGTTCACAAAACACAACATAGAAACTAAAGACTGAGCAACTAGAACCCCACCAAAAACTTGGGGTTATCTCAGGTGCTCTCCGAGAAGGGGTAGCAGATCCTGCTCCACATGTGGCACCCGTCATGTTTCTCATGTAACTACAAACCCGGTGATAATTCTAATTCGGTAGGTCACATTCAGGGAAAAGGGGGGCGGGATTGTAGTTACGATAATTGAAACATATCCGTCGTCATTTGTGAAACAGATATTCCATAACGATCAACCAACTCGTTATGGCGTCCGTAAAATTTACGAAGGGATGGTTAATTTAATAGCTTTCTTGTGAGCAGCAACCCCCCATCAAGGAAATCATGATAGAAAATACAAGTCCTAGAATACCGTATTAACTGGGAGATATATACTCTGTATGCAGACGCTGCTGGAATGTAGCTACATAGAAATGGAAAGTTCACAATTGGGAAACTAATATCATCTCTTTTGTCGTAAAGTTTTGTTTTCAACCGACCCTCATTGTCAATTACAAGATGTAAGTTAAGATATAAGGCAGACTTAACTGTAACTGTTGTATCCTTATCTCAGGAGGTTCGATGGGATAGATGCGTTCAATATAGTCACCAACTTTTGAATTATTTAGTGAGAAAACATCATCTATATAGCAGAAAGAGAAGTTAAAGGATACTGTTACGTTCCTGTATGAAGTCAGCCTCATATGAGTATATATAAAGGCACAAGTCGGAAAGAAGAAGAGCACAGTTGGTTCCCATAGGAATGCCGATCGTTTGTTGAAAAACACGTCCTCCAAACGTAACAAATATGTTGTCAATCAAGAAATGCAGCGTCTTGATAATGTCAGTTTCAGATAATTTTTTGTTTAAAAGAGAGTGATTTTTTTTTACAAAGTACGATTTATCCCTCCCTACGACAAGATACTTTTTTCTACGTGGTCTTTCTTTCTTTTTTTTTAAACAAGACAGGACCCCACTTTCAATTTGTCTTTAAGTTAGGAATGGGGAATACTTGTGTAAAGTGAAGAAAAGTCAAATGTTTTAATACTGTTGCAAGATGAAAGAGTCTTAGATTGTATGTATTCTAAAAGATCTTTGGATTTTTTTAGTATGCACATCCGATTCACGCCACCTCTAGAATAGGTAGATTCACGTTAACTTTGAAGCCCGGCATTGATTGCTGATAAAATTGATGCTAATAATTTAGAAAGAAGTTTCGTGGAGCAGTTGGAAGACCCGAGAGTATAACGTTGTTTGTAAGGACACTTATGTAGCTTAGATATCCAATACAGTGAAGGAAGAACCAGTTCTTCATCTTTGGTTGAAACACAGAACAGACCTATGTTCAGCCAGGATTTCTTCGTTGGTGAATGTCGTTGGGGTATATGTTGAATTTCCAGGTGAATTATCAATACCTAATACATTTATCAAGCCGTTTGTGTAATATGATTTACACACAAACACGATTTTGTTTGGGGCTCTATCTGTTGGAACAGCAACACATTTGTCATGTTGGTAGGATAGGTGTTTTGCAACATTTGGGTTTTGAAAGATTGATGTAGCATGGGTATTCATAAACCCACTCAGTTTTTGTAATTCTGATTTGTATCAACGACCTCACAGACTTAATCCATCCGGAATGAGTATCTACGTCTTCTTTCTCGCGTTTAACCCACTGCCTGGCATAATATAATCATTGACTAAATCCATCAGTATTTTGAAGTTGTGTTTCCATTTGAAGGATTTAGGCTAACGATATTTCGGGCCTTTTGATAACACATTTTGCCGAGAAGTGTTTTGACAATATTTAGGTAACCAGTAATAAATGGCCAGTCTGATAATTAGTATATATAAATGACGAACTTGCACAGGTGCAATCAGGGGGTTTAAACATCAATATTATCCTGCAACACATGTTTGTAATCAAACATTTTAGTTGCAATTGGTTTGGTATATGTATAAGACTGATCTTTATAATATTTCAATTAGTTTAATTGAAGTCTGGAGCTAGCATGTCAGTAATTGCTAGTAGTCCTTTGCTAATTCATGTTTATCATTGTCATTTTGCTTAGTTTCTTCTGTTACCTATTCTAATATCGGACTCGATTCTTTTGAACTGAGTTTTACCGTGCGTTTTGCTGTGTGTTTTGTTATTCCACATTGACTAGAGGTATTAGGGGGGAGGGGGTGGAGATCTCACAAAATTGTTTAGCCCCGCCGCATGTTTGCGCCTGTCCAAAGTCAGGAACTTCTAGACTTTGTTAGAATTGTTTGAGTATTTTATTTTTGGTTCATTTGTATGTTTCAAAGTTAAGTGTGACGTCCATTTCGCTGAACAGGTATACATTATTGTTTAGTTGCCAGCTGAAGCCCGCCTCCGGGTGCGAGATTTTGTCGCTACGTTGTAGACATATTGGTGGCCTTTGGCTGTTTTCTGCTCTTTGGTCGGGTTTTTGTCTCTTTTACACATTCCCCGTTTCCATTCTCTAATCCATATACGGTATCCGAATTAAAAGAAAGCACTAAATAAATATTTAAATTGTAAAAATTTTGGGGCAGGAGGACTATGAAATATTGGTAATGGTTGTGCATAAAATATGAAAATAAAAATTCATGCAGCATTGTAGACGGTTTGTCCGTTTGGGTCCATCCTTGCTGATTCTACAATAAGTTCTTACAAAATATATATGGGTTCTGTTCTGGTAGTCGTACTTGTGATCTCACTAATAACTATAGAGTAAATTCTCTCGGACTTGTAAAGTTCCTTCTTTATTTATTGTGTTTTATAATTAAAAAAAAACAAAGAACATAACTTTACGTTCTGAACTGTATCAGACGGAAATAAGGGCATTGATTTTGGCATTATGAGCATCGAGTGCATCAAATTAATCGCATTCAGTAAAATTGTGTGTCCATCTACAAATAATTTTCAACACATCTGAACAAAAATAATGAATACATGTGAATCGGAGATGTATATCTATTGAATAACCTAACCCAAGTGACTAATAGAAGTGACTTGGAATGTGGAAAACTATTCAACGAGTGATCGAACAATACATTAGTTTTATACAAATACGCATGAGTGAATTGTCAGTGTTTTGTCTAAAACTTTTGAAGATAAGTCAAGTTAAACGAAGGTATCACAGGAATAACATTTCGAAGCGGCAATCCATGAAAATTTTAATACAGTGCTAGTAAAAAAAAATAATGAGGGTAATTATTTTGGAATCAGAGGCGTGGTCACGATGTCTGTGTTCTTTAGTACTATGACATTTAAGCACCATTCAAGTTTTCTTTCGACACACACAACCCGTTTAAGAGCGTTGGAGAAATCAACTTATACTTATGTTGTGATAGCCTTCAATATCAGGGGGGGATCCTGCCATTTTTTAAGAGGGCGGGGGTTCTAGCCCAGGATGAATAGGGGGGTGTTTCCAACCATATGTCCCCATTCAAAAGCATCGATCGTCAAAAAAGGGGGGGGGTTCCAACCCTCGAACCCCCTCCCCCCTCCCCCCACTTGGATCCGCCAATGAATATTAACATATACTTACGCGATGTTAAGGATGTGGGTAACCAGTTTTGATAACCACCCTCTCGTTCATTTTTTACAAGAAAACATACAGTTTTTATCAACACCAAAGCATGACAGATATAAGTTACTGTTGTTTTTATTCAAACAATTTTAACTTAGTCTTATTTATGTTATGTAGGAAATGGTATATCGAAATTGATGTATCTTACCTGCACAGTTTCCATGTTTTTTTCGATTTTGAGACTACTTTCGTTTTTCATGGAATGTGATTAAAATATAACCCATCCCATGTAAATTCAGGATCTTTGCCAATTTATGCTTTGTCAAATGAGATTTTTAATAATCTATTTTTAGTTAAACTTTGTAGAAGTGGGAAAACCAACTAGCTTAAAAAAACGATTTAAATATATGTCTACCTTTTTAAATGTTGTAATTGATAAAAACAACATTATCTATGTAGTGATTTTTTTTTTTATTAAATTGGAAAATAAAAATACGAAAAGTCTGGTTTTACAAAAGAAAAATAATCAAAGCAAAGCTTTTAAAATTTTAGAAATAAAAGAAAAATTGCATCGACCTGGATTATTTATATTCTGCCACTCTGCTTTAAAGGGGATTATGCTACGAATTATAAAAATAAAATAAAAGTGAAATATAGATATAATATTTCGCTATTAGCAGTCAGTATGGTTCAATTGTGTCAATTAAAATAAGCTAAAAAAACATTGTTGACGCATTATTGGCTTGCAAGTCAATAATTCAACTCATTTGAATCCGTATTCATGCAACCTTTTAATTTGACATTTATTGGAGATGGATGCGCATGTGTGCATCATATTGTTATTTCATTAAAACATTGTAAGAATGTCAATATTGAAAAGTGAAATAAGGGAGCCACCAGGAATAACCTTTTGGTTGACTGATATGGCTAACAAAAAAATCATTTCTTTACAGTTAAAACGATAGTATATATATATATGTTTTTAATCTATAACATGAAATCTAACAAGCATAGATAAATCGTCATTATACAATTGCATGTGCTTGTCTATGTATTTATATTTATATTTATGTTTATATCGGGTTCAATGACCGTCGGCAGTCTTCGGAGTTCATATCGATGGATGTAGTCTAAAATACGCATGAAATGCTGATACACTATAACGAGTCTATGAATTGTTATTTGTTTCTTTAGCACTTTTGGACTTTTTGTCATTTGAATTTACGTTTCTCAAACGAGTATGTTATGAATGAAATATAAGACTTTGGTTTCAATATGTGGGCATGAATTTGACATCTAATGCCCTTTTAAGACAATATGTAGACGAATAATACCGATTTAAGTGGCTCGACGCGTGTTACTAATACGTGCGTAATGGATACTTTATTCAAGCATTTTTTAAGACTACCGAGTTTGGTAAATAGAAGGTTACTTGTCGATGGCTGATATCAGATACACAATCGAACATTAATTGAACAATGCAATCTTCACATAAATCATTTACTTAATACAAGCAGCTACAAATGTATTAAATTTTTTTCAATTATCTATAAATTTACAGCTTCATTTTTTTTCATAAGCACTAAGGTCAATCACAAAATTTCATTTTGATGTTTAGTCATTTTCTAAATCATTTCGTGTCTAAAAGTTTAAACGTATAGATGTATTGACTCATGGTAAATGGTAGTCATTCAATTTAACCATACAAATGAGCATTTGTTTAAAGCCTTTTTTCAATGATATCAAAAATGAAGGGTTTGAGACAAAAGTTTAAAAAGTGATAGATGTATAATTAGTACATAACCAGCTAAAAGATGCCTTAATAGGAGTCAGAAATGTCTGACGTTATATTTTCCTTAGGGCGTAAGAGCATATAATTTCTATAAACATTACAACAATTTGTCAACTGAAACAAGATGAATCAGATATGATGCAACTTTGGACGCCGCCGAATTAATTTATACATTTTGATAATATGTGGTATGGTTGCAACAAGATAACTCATACCGTTTTGAACAACACGTTTCATATAGCTTCTATCGTTTCTACGTTTTATACACGTCTGTCTTTCAAATGTTTAAGCTTGAGCGTTCCCGGTGAGGATAAATCAAGAAAAGCACTTAGATCGCAAGACATTTATAAAGTTTGATTTTATTTTTCAAAAACACCATTGAGCCTTCCAGAATAAGAAATGTAATACTGCATGTATATAGAAGGCGGTGTAAGCTTCGGGTGACAAAATGTGAAACTATTCAAAAGAGAAAACCAAAGGTAAGATAAACAGTTATCTCACAGAGCAATGAACATGTGAAATGCACATGTGAACAGGCTTATGCCTTTGGACCGGTATAGAAAGAATTAGGTGGGGTTAAAATTAGGGCATTTGTGTAAGAACACAACATAAAAAAATGCAAAAATCATTTAAAAAGGCTTGAGGCATAAGATCGGTACTAAACACAAAACAAATAACAAAGAGAAATAAGACATAGAAAACTTGCAAGTGTTGTTAACAAGTTCAAAGTCTAATTTCAACTAATAAATAAAACGTGGTATCATATTAGTTACGTTTTAAGGACGCGATTTTGAACAGACAATCGGCATTCCTTTGAGAATCAACTGTGCTCTTCTTCTTTTCGACGCCTTCCTTATATCTATATGAGGCTGGTTTATAAAAGATTTTCAAAGGAAAAGGAAAATAAACTAACATTAGCTTTAACTATATAGATGCTGTTCTCTTATAAAATAATTCAAAGTTTGGTGACTATTTTGAACGCTTCTATGTTTTAGAACCTGAAATAAAGGATACCATATATAGTTAAGTCTGCTTTATATCTACATCTAGAAATTGACAATGATAACCACACAGCAGTATTATATTGAATTGTGTCTGAACAACGAATCGTTAATGTATAGCTTTAAACAAAACTAAATGTTAAAAATAGAAATTCTGCATAAATCAACTGTGGGCAATGCACACGATGAAGTCGAGGTACACGAAGAATACCACTGAACTTCAACAGAAAACTTTTAATCCCTATCAATTAAGACATGATATCTCAGATATGGAAACTTAACGACAAAAGAAATTCAGTTTCCTATTATGAACTTTTCTAAGTAGCATCATTCCCTTAAGTGAAATCAATGCACCAATGGTTCCTCTTGGTTAAGTTGAAGTCATCCCTACCGATACGATCATGATTTGGTTGACTGTTATGGAATATATGTATCATAGAAGACCATGGCTATATATGATTCAATTATCAAAGCTATAATCCCGTCCTTTTCCTCGATCAGACATCGTCTAAAGCGACTTATCACCGAATAGGTTACTTGCCATGAACAACACGACGGATGCCACTTGTTGAGCAGGATTTGCTTCACCCCCTGGAGCATTAGAGATCACCTTCCGTTTATGTTACCCAGTCTTAAGTTTTCTATATGGTGTTTGGTAGACTGTTGTTTGTCTTTTCGTCGTTTTTCTTTCTTGTCATAATGTTGCCTGTTTTTCTTCGACTCTTAATTTTGATTGTCCAATTGGTAATTATCGTTTGCCTCTTTATTATTACAATCAATCAATCAATCAGTGGATCTCATGGGTATATACAGAGTAAAGACAGTATAAGCAGTCAGGGAAATGCATGACATTGTGCAATGCCAATTGTAAGCATCAATAGGATGTAGGACTTTAAGCGTTAATTGCCGGATATAAACACGTGCTTAGTTATGTATTAAACTTTAAAAATAAGATAAAATGAATTTTAGTACCGATAAAGACAAAAACCAAATATCTTATGATATTGTTAAATTCATAACCGTTGAGAATAAGTTTATTTAAAGGACCAATAACTTAACGATGCCCAATTTAACAGCCTAATAAACTAACATCAACCTTAAATTAGGATACGATATATTCCGTTTGTAATTAAGATATCTTCAAGTACATTCAAATTATTTTCTGCAATATAACTGCAGATTCTACAATTGTATCAACACACTGTGCTTGTCAATAATATGTTTTGAATAAAAAATCAATGACTTGAGTATTATTGAGTTACGTGCATTACCGTGTCACAAACAAAGCACGTGTAATATTTTACAGAAAAGAAACTTTACTCCGAGCAAACAGATTTCCAGTTGTACTTCATTTAAAGTTAGGAAGTGAATTAACAATGTCGAACCGTTTATGAAAGCAACATAACGTTTAAGATAAAGGCCATTTCAAAAACCATTTATCATTTTACATGTTGCATAGAATATTTTGTATCATTATATTTTTAGATAAATATCTTTGGGTTACATATATAGTGTTTTATTAAAACTATAAAAAAAAAATGTCAACGATAACTTATCACAACCCTAGCATTACTATCTATGTTTTGTTAAAGTGGTTAATGTAAAATACTTTTCATGGTTACCAGTTTTTAGATAAATCGACAAGACTAATTGACTTTCCATTGCAATTAATGATTATTGATAGCTTCTTGTTAGATCTTTGGTTATTCAAAAGCCCATTTCCTGAAGCAAATACAGGAGTCGTATCATCGAAGAACAATCAAGATAAGTGAAGGAAGCAGGCAAGTTTAGAACGTCATTGACCATGTAAGGGGATTAATTGTTTCTCCTGCTCTTCAAGTCTAAGGGTATTCGAAACTACATTTGTCTTTATGAACACTCAACAGACTTGCAAAAACATGCGTAACAAACGTAAAAAAATAAAATGAACGTAAAGCAACGTCTATCATATATCGATCATTTAATTTGCAATTTAAAACATTGAAGGGATTTTAAAGAGTATTAAGAGACCGAAAACATAACATTAAATCTAATTACCTTATTCTTTAGCTTGTCTAATAATGGAAAGTCGACTCTAATTTAACATTTCTTTTTTCCTAGAACCTGAATCGATAAGAGTCATGTCTTATTAAATAAATTGTTTTAGACTTCTTTTATTTTATGGTGGTTTAAATGGTATTTTTTTAATATTTAAAACCAATTAGTTTACTTAATTAATTTTCAAATAAAGGATTGTCAAAGATTAAGCAAATTTGTACACTAAGTTCGATGCAACAAATATCCCATTGCATAAGTCTAGTGACTTCAGGGGCCTCTTTGACAAATGTGATTTTAATATTGGCCTAAAATATGTCTTACGACGAATTGGAGTATGAAAGGTCCGAGTCTTCATTTTGAAACCATCTTATTATCTTTTATATGATGGTCTTATGAATGAATACACTCAGATGATTTTGAGATATTATTGTGCTACAATTCTCACTTCAAACTTTTTCATTTGTGTTTAATGTATTA